AACTGGCAGCTAATTAATATCAAAAATATTATCAAAGCTGTTAAAGCCTCTTTCTTAATATTTTGTATACCAAGCGTACAGATTTTTTTATTTTACTCATATGGTATTGTAACTTTCATTCACACTGTTGAAGAATGAAAATTAAATTAGCAAACAGAACAATAGGGCATATCGTTGTATTTTTCTTTGTTTGCAGAGACAGAAGGCCCACAAAGACAATAGCATTCTTGTTTTTGTTCCCAACTGAAATGAAGCATCTTGGTTTTGAATATGCAAATGGCTTCCTGCACCATTGATGTAACAATGTCTCTATATTCAATATTTTAGCTAATACATAACCATGATGTAACACCTTCCATTACATTTTTTTGGGGAGGCAGGAAAAATACTTGGTAAGAAGATAATAAGTATACTTATGATAATTTGTTGACCTGTTCGCCGTTTCAGTGATGGTGGTGGGTATTATTTTGAAAATTACTGGCAAAATTCAAAATGAAATAACAACGATGACAAGAATAGCTTTTAAAATGAAACTGTCATAATATTGTAAAAATAAATATATTGAAAAATACATAGTTACTGCACAATGGTAAAATCTGCAATTTTAACGGAAATAGTTATTTGTGTAACCAGTGTGCGAAGTGGCGTGTGGAAAGTTTCCCGAGTGCAGCAAAGGCACTTTGCGCTCGTGTTACACATTATATTTTTCCTACAGTTATAAAGCATAGGCTATAAATAATTAGTCTTTCAAAATATTATACAACACTTTTTAGGTTAGGTTAAATACAAGCGTTGAACGAAATGGGTATAAACGCTGTACCAGCTGATCGTAGTTGTAGTATATTAAGTGTTGCCAACTTATTTTCAAGCGTACACGTATTAATTACTTGCCTAATAAAAGTACACTGGTTTTTGTTGTTTAGTTGGAATACTGGAGTGTGGCAAAAGTAAGTAAATGGGGCAGTAATTAGCTACTTTGCGTGCTATAATCAGTGCAATGGAACCCACTTTGTCAGGTAACTGTAGGAAAAATATTTTATTATAGTTTTGTACAAATATATAAATAAATACCCATGATCGTTGATAAATGGGTAAATTTGAGAAAAAGAACAGTCCGAAATTGAGAGGTGGGTAACTAATGGTGAAGAGTTATTATAGAGGGAATGACTTTGCTGGTACAGTAATACAGAATAAATTGTTATTCTATTACTGTACCAGCAAAGTACAGTCACTCGTTATTCTGTGATAGTATGATGTGAGTTACACACATTGAACACATTGAAGGGAAAATATGAGGCATTGTGCAAAACGGGTGGATGAAATCAGCGCTGAAAGTTAAAAGTAGGAAGAAGTAGAGATGTGATTCAGAAAATGACGTAAGGAAGGAAAATGAGAATGAATTAAGATAATTGTGTATTTAAGTACTAGAGGTCGTCCAGTGGTCGAAAACTCGATCAAAAATGTTCTCTATTTTCATCCCACGCCTTAAATACATGTGATTGGAATTTCTTCCATTTGTTTTGATTTTCTGTTAATTTTTACAGTAACCCATAATAAGGTCTCTGTTATATATTTTTTTTAATTTGAATTTGATTGTTTTCTTTTTTTTGAGCTTATTTTAATTTATGAAGGGGTTCTGCACATGTACAGGAAAATATATTTCCAACAGTAGACCTATACGTAGTCCTTGCGATGCACACGAGCTGAGAAAAAAGGTTTTAAAGAATCATGCTTGCCTATTAATATATACATTCTATATCACATGAATATAGAGAGTAGAAGAAAATTTGTATGATTAGAAATAATAGTCTATTATTTTTATTTTACTGATGCTGTGAGTAAAGTACGTGAAAAGAAGTGAGAACGAGGGAGGAGATTGAGAATTAGTATCGCTAATAAGACAATTCATCGTTACAAGCGTTTTCTACTTACAGCCTGTGTTTCCTTTCATTTCAACGTTATATACTTTACCTGCTAAAACTCTCTATCATCTAGGCCTATTGCATGCAGTTTTATAACAACTTTTATCGAAATAAGTCAAAATTCCAAAGCAGAATTGTATGTATAGTATACATGCGATTGATGAATAATATAATTCTTATTTTGTCATCTGAAGGAATTAAAGGACAAGCAAACAGGAGCCTACAACTTGTGCCTACAACTGTATCTAATCAACATGTTTGAGGAAATATAAATAGGTCTCTTTCTCCCCATGAGGGAGTCGAAAGGTTTAGTAAACGTATCATTTCACTAACATTTTATGTTTAGAAATCTCCATTGGCATTAGATAAAACACTTATCGTAAAAAGCTACCTACATCAAAATTCACGTCAAAATAAATTTAGTGACGCCGCCCGTTATCACTTTAATTACGTTGTACCTGTTTACTTTGCATGTATTTGCAGATCAAATTAAACAATGTAACCAGGGGTATTTCATTCGATTGGCCAATCTGCAGTTTAATTATATCGGGAGTACATTTACATAAAGCATTAAATGTTACTACATGCAACGACGTTTTTCATTTTAAAAATCAAATTGTACTTGTGTTGCAAATGTAAAGGTACGGTAGTGATGTATGTTTTTCTTAAATTTCCTTGGCAGCCATTACAGTTTATAATTTTAGGACTGACGAGTTAAAAAATTACTGTATGTAACTCTATATGATTTAATTTGAAGTAAGTGTAGACCTACTTACTTTCAAGCTCCTACTTATATTTTGATGTCCAATAGATCCAAAAGAATCTAAATACCTTAATATATCAATAACATCAATTGTTATTAAACAAAAATACGTTTACCATAATTCTTCAATTTTGGTCAAGCCTCTTTTACCTGGAGCTTACAAAGATTGTGATCAATATACTACAGAACTCGTACAACCTTTCTTTAACCAAACCCTTACTAAATAACACAAATTTCCTCAATGCAAATAAAGCACCACAAACATTTTTTTCGAATAAATAAACAAAAACCAGTTAATTACATCGACCAGTTGTTTAATTTAATTGATTAAATGAAAGCATTTTTTAGAACCATGTAAGAAGTAGCCCTTTGGAAATCGGCCTGTGGAGCAGAGCCCTGGGAAAAAGTATTCGTTCATACCATGGTGGAACATAGGCGTGCTACTCCCATCATAGGCTGACGTCACTCAGATTGCAAACAAAAAATTACCTGATTGTAACTGCCATAAGTATAAATGTATTTGTTTGGACGTGATTGTTATTGTTTTTTTTTTTTTTTGTTTTTTTTCTTCTAAGTAGTGAAATGGTGTTTGCAATCTGGGGGACGTCAGCAGTGACGGGAATAGCACACCTATGTATTTTCCTTCAACCATGCGTTCATACCATACCAATACTATTCGGCAAATCTACACACAAGCTTCATTTTGATGTATCTGCCTATATTTTTATTTGGTAAAGACCTTAAACGATTACCACAAATAATGTGAGTGCATCACATTAATAATATAATTATAATAGATTGCATAAAAAATAGGCTACATGTCAGAACAATGTGTGCGCCTTCAAATGTTTTACCGGGCATTGATTCATGCTCCAAGTTATGTTTGCATGTATATATATAGATCAAGTGCATACCTATCGTTTAAGTAAATTATTACTAAAAGAATCTAGGCAAATTTATTTGAAATTAAGGCCCAGTTAAATGCTTCTAAAAACTTAAAGCTTTTTAGGAAGCAAGTTTGAAATAAACATTTGAGTAAGTATATTTTTTTGAAGTTTTCAGTTTTCCTTTTTTGTTAAAAGAGTATACAGTAATTTATTATAAGTAACAGCTGTTAAATCTATAATATTTATCCGTGAGAAACATCCGTACTATTTTTTGTTTGTTTAGTTTTATGCAAGGTCCCTCTTAATTGAATCGGCATTTAAATCACTCTGGTTTAATTGCACTACGCCAATTAGTGAACAGGATGTCGAATTGGTTTAGTAAACCCGTAACAAAATTAAAGTCAAAATCCATTACCATGAGTAAATGTGAGTGGAACCAATCGGATGGGAGAATATTCGCGTGGTTATTATTTACGCAACTATGAACACTGTTTATTATTTACCTTTATTTTACAATTTTGGCCTATAGATATAAATATTTTGACAACACTCAATATTCAATATGTTTAAACCGCTAAAGTACCTGCACAACTGTTTATTTTCATTGAGTCTTCTTGGGACAAAAGATGTGCTTACAGTTTAGTGTTATACAGTTTCAAGAACTTGTTATACTTCTCAAAAGTTACAAACCAAAGTTTCCCAGTCGGTGACCCCTTCCATAGCCTGGTCTGGGTTATCCTCCCACCGTGGACTTACCAGTAGCTACTCTCTGGTTTTATGTGTATTTAAACTGTTATTAATTTTATTTTATGTCAACATTTAATCGTTGAATTTGAATTGTAAGGGCGGAGTATTTTAAATTTAATCTACGATATAATACACAAACATGCATTGTCTATCTATGACAGGGCCACCTTTGGAGCCGAGACAATGGAGGTATATGCCAATGTTTTAGATTAAAAATTATGTTCACTTGGTGTAGTCCATAATAAATTTCTGGTTAATATAAATTCTATGGTTTTGAAAAACACCAATTGAATTTACCTTAAGAGTAAAGGGACTTTTCGGCCACTATGTATTTCTGTAAATTTTTAATGGAGTCAATATTTTCATATCCCGGTAACGGCATTTACTGTATAAACACTAGTGTTTATATAGTCAATGGTAACGCGGTAACCAAGCTTTCGTATTCTAAAAAACACAAATACAAATACAATTAATTGGCTGCCCCGGTGCCCCCAAACAAAACCGTTGTTACAAAATTACTTGTCGCAGCGGAGTTAAAGGTGGCCCGGTGGCCGTGATCTATGGTGATATTAAGATTGTCCGCATTTCCCTATGTTCTGCCTTTTACTCAGCTGTGGAGGTGAATGTAAAAAAGGCCTGACTCTCTGACTGTCTGACATTTTTTGTTATCGTTTCATTCGTTCCTTCACCTTCGTTTCGGTGTTGTTATGTGTAATTATCTTTCAGAAGAATGGTTTTATTATAGGTTATTAAAGTTATACCAACTATAAGTTACCAAGAGACTGTGCGTTCTATGTTGCCCAATGTTTTGTTTTAGGCTATATAAGGAATTCATGTAAGTTTTCCTAGAGCAGTATTATTTAGACTCATCAACATGGTAAACATTTTCCCAATCATGTTCCCGGCCAAGATTTCAAGATCGCTATGTATTACCGGTACCAGGGCACAACCAATTTGTTTTAACGCTATAAGACAATCTTCAAACCACTCACTTGTTGCCGAGAAGGATGTAAGAACATCCCTAAAAGTCAACAAGAAACCTTCAAAGCCGCCATTCATGAAAAATGTTTTCTTGGGAATTTATGATAAAGACATGTTAGTTTACCCTGAGTTGGATAAACCAAGACTGCAAGAGCTAAAGAAGCGCATGGAACCTGTTAAAAGTTATTTCAAAAGTAATGTTAATCCTGAAATTCTATCATCATTGAAGATTATCCCTAATGAAATCAGAGAGAGCTTGAAACAACTTGGACTCTATGGACAGTCAATCCCAGAGAGCTATGGGGGTTCTGATCAGACAGCCACAGAAACAGCTTATATTAATGAGGTCATTGGTAACGATATTGACATTGCTTTGACATTATACTCCCACAATTTCCTTGCTACTCAAAGTATACTTATGTATGGAACTGCCCAGCAGAAAGAGAAGTATCTACCCTTATTGGCCACAGGAGAGCTCACAGCAGCATTTTGTATGTCAGAAAGCATCAGCAGTTCTGATCTTGCATCTTTATTGACAACGGCTGAGCCCAATGAAGATAATCCAGACATGTACCTTGTCAACGGTAAGAAGCTATGGGTTATTAATGGAGGCATTGCTAATTTATTTATTGTGTTGGTGAAATACAACTACAAATCGCATCATGGGAAAATGGTTCCTCTTGTTCGGTTAATGATAGTTGAACGAGAATATCCCGGGATTACAGTATCTCCACCCAAGGAGCACATTGGTCTGAAAGCGTCAAATATATGTGAGGTGCACTTTAACAACACTCCTGTTCCTAAAGAAAACTTTATTGGGAATGAAATGCAGGGTTTTGAAATGTGTACTCAAGTGTTAAGTAGTGGACGGTACAACATAGGTGCAATAACAGTTACTTTACTTAAAAACCTACTAAGTACAGCCTGTTCCTTTGTTATCGATAGAAGACAGTTTGACAGACAATTGATTGATTGTGAAAGAATTCAGGATAAAGTGGTTGAAATAGCTACTCGTATTTACACATTAGAGAGTATGACCTACCTTACAACTGGTATTCTAGACACCTATGAAAGTGCTGATTGTTTGCTCGAACTTGCTATTATTAAAATATTTAGCTTTACTGAAGGACGATATGCTTTGGATCTTATTATGGAATTAATGGGAGGCAGAGCGTTTCTTGAGTCTGAGATTGTTCAGAAATATTTTAAAGACTTTCGTACAATGGAGGTATTTGATGGGACAACTGACATTGCTAAACTGATGGTAGCACTGCTTGGCCTACAGCACACTGGGATCACGTTGCATGAGTCCAACAAGAAAGCAAGATTTCCCTATGATAACGCAGGATTTGTTTTTAAGCGCTTTTTCGAAAACAGGTTGCAAATAAAGGATGAACCAAAGCTCACACTTGGATTATTTGAACAGTTACATCCGTCTTTGACAATCGCAGCAAATGAGCTTGAGTATTGTGTTCACCGTTTACAATTTGCAGTAAGTGTACTCTTTGAACGTTACGGTTCTGAAGTAGTTAACCAGCAGATAGAACTGATGAGAATAACTGATGCAGCTGTTAAAATATATGCAATGACAGCAGTCCTAGGGAGATCATCAAGGTCATACTGTTTAGGCTTGCGCAATGGAGAGACGGAAGTGAAATATGCCATGAAAATCTGTTCTGCTTATAAAAAAATTGTTAAACAAGAGATCAACTATCTTCTTGAAGGAATTCCCTCTACAGGTGATATTGTTTCTACAAACTATGGTCCTGATATCTTTAGGCATCATGGTTATTACTTGGAGCACCCATTAGAAAGGACTTATTAAATTTCCCTTTTGTGTAAAGCTCTAAAACTAGGCCCTATTTTTAATATTTTCCTTTAAAAACAAGAATTTAAATAAAATTGTATTCACATTTTCCAGTATATTTAAAAAAAAACATACTAAATGGGGCAAAAATGAATTTTGGTTTCTCCGGTTATTGTTACATTAGGCCTAAACCATAGATAAAACATGGGCCCTCCCTTGTATTGCTTAGTCTATGCCTAAATTTAGTTCTGACAAGACCAGTTTTGTTTAATTTACTTTCTACTTTTTTTAAAATAGAGTGTTTAAGGCCTAGGCTACTTTTAATCAATTAAACTAATAAAACATCATTCTTTACATAAACATTTAAAATAATTAGGCCTATTAGAAGATTTACTTATTTTTTTGTAGGCCAGTGTAAAATGTTTTGCTGTAGCTCTTGTATATTTTTTAAGCCTTTTAGAGATTTTATTGATAGCCTACATGTCTATTGTTTTGAGAACTAAGATTAGGTAGGCTACTATTCTCAGCTTTAATTTTCTTAAAGAAGTCTTTGTCATTCACAAAGTGTGAATTTAGAGTTTTTTTCTTCACTGAATGTGGTAGTATATTTCGAGTTCTAGTTTTACTTTGCTTAGTACTTTTCCACAAAGCGTCAACAGCCAAGACTAGGCCTAACTTATCTATTCCAGAACCTAGGAATCATCATTGTTGGTGGGATTAAACCTAAGTAAAAGTAGCTGATATCTATTTGGTCTTAAAACATGTAAAACATTATTAAGTACCGGTAGCCTAAAGCCTTTTAGATAGTGCAGGTAGTCTTTTATGGTTCTGGTCAGCCTATTTTAAACTAAGGGTTGGGTCCATGTCCTAAGCCGGTTTTGTTCACCAAAAGAGGTGGCATGCTCTTCAATAGCCTACTGAGTTTACTAATGGTGTCTTGGGAGCCCTTTAGCGACAATCAATTTTCTGTAGGTAATGTTATTAATACAAATAATAGCCCTTAACATTGTGGTTTAAGTACAGTAGGCTACCTAACAATTAATATACCTTGAACAATCCCTGTTAATTTGTTACCAAATTTCACGCAAATCGGTTAGTACCTATTTAAATTTTTTTGCAACATACAAATAAGCCAATGTTTAATTAACTAAACGTAATAAATTAACAGAAATGTTTAGATATACCACAATACCGCACTGTTTTAGTTGTATTTGGAATATTAAAGAGAATTACTTGTTGCTATTGGGGCCCCCCCAAACATAGCATAGCCTAATGTTGCATAGTCTCCATTAACAGGAATAACAAACTTGTAAATATAAACATTATAAGCTCCATCATAAATTAGTTCAACAGCTGTTTCAGTATGCCAGGTCTGTGGCATTGCCACTTTTGTCTTGCCACGGCCTTATATTAGAGGAGGCTATGAATAAATACAATCAAGCTTATTCAAATTGAAAATTAATTGACCTTAAATATATCTCTGTTAGTCATCACTTACACTTCAAATGTTTGTAAAATTTGCAAAAATGATTTCCATTCAAAATGTTTTGAAACGGGAAAGTGCCATGGCCTTCTGACGGCTTATCCTCCCCACGACAAAACCTACCAAAATTTAACGTCATTGAAGTTATTTCAAATCGGAAATGTACGACTATGGCATACTAGATTCAAGTCTGATCTAAAATAGGCCTATAGGCCTGTTACTAATTTAGTGGGAATTTAGAACATAAAAATCACAGGCGTAAAGGCTACCAATGTTTAAGCAACTCCACTCGGAGAGAGGGGTGGTCAGCAATGACATAAAATTTCGGACATAAAAAGCGCCTTTCACAAATATCATTGAGTCTACACTACTCTCAATTTCCTAGTTATCTTATATCTGTTAGGTAAGCCTAATCTACATCTCGACCTTGATCCTGAAAATTACATTCCCAAGCACTTTTCTCTTTATTTTCATTCAGAACAATCTCTATGCTCTTAAACATTTTTATATGATCGGGAATAAAAGAAAGAGACCATAGGCTGATTTGTAAAAAAATTTAATAACAATAATAAAACCACTTGCAAGTGGTAAAACCAGTTTTATTTTATAAAACTAAATCTTTTATGCAACAACAGCATTTCACAACAGCTAGAAACATGATTAAGTCGATATTGTCTATGAAAATTGTATTTTTACTTGATTAACTTTATAGACAAAAATACGTACAACATTTTAATGAACACAGATATATAAAAGCCTTGAAACGCTGTAACAGTTTTATCAGTAACTCTCTATTTTCGTTGTACCTAACAGTTAGGTCTCCAAGCTATAGTACGAGTGGCAAGCCTTACAGGTTCCAAACAAAACAAATCAGCAGTCTGGGTACGAAACAGAATTGAACCTGACTTTCTCGTTGCTCATACCTTAGCTTAGATATTAAAATTAAGAAAGTAATGCTAGGTGATAAAACATTTGAATCATACAGTAAGTTAAAATTATTTCAAAAGTCTAACTTATTAAAAAAAAGGCATACAAAATATTGCTTTCATTAAAATGAAGTTTTATCAAAACTGAGTTTTGAGGTAGCATTAAGGTTAGGCACAGAGAAGTATACAGAGAAAACATGCTTATGGAACAACCATGCGCTTTTAGCTCTGGAATGGTGTGGCGGAAATATATTAGTACCGAGCAAGGAAGAGCCCGAACGGATATTGTTTACAACAGCAGTTGTAGCGCACAGGCTCCTATAGCGTGAGCGCTGTAATGGTGAGGAAAAAGAGAGCGGAAAGGAACTTCCAATAGCTTTTTAACTAGACACGACTTAAGTGTACCATGAAATATTTCCTCTGTATCTTACTTCTCTGTAGGTTAGGCCTTATGTGACACAAAAATATTGCTTAATTAATCAATCAAAATATATTCTAGCCATTAATTTTTTTTAGGTAATGGCTTATCACACACTTATAGTGTTATTGAAGCTGGGCATTGTAATAAGATCACAGATAAGCACTACTAAACCTTTACACCCAAACTTGTAGGTAAACACTTCAAATCCTATTTTCCCCATGCATTTTGAAGAGGTTAACATGTAAGTGGTTGTAACGCTGTTTACAATTCACAATGCCATTCACCAAACAACTATTTATCTTTGCCTAAATTGTTATGTCCAACACACGAACCTTAGTGTCAACCACAATCTCTGCAATGTATTTCACATTTTAGTTTCATGCACTGTAGTTTCTTGTTTTAATGATTAATTATTATATATAAAATACTTTGTGAACATCTCAAACAACTAAATTCAATGAGTCTGCTTACAGAGAGAAAAGTATTACTTGTTATATTTAATACTAACTTAACTGGTCATCAGTTTTATTGTATAAGGCAGAACATAGTTGTCATATATTGGTTAAGAACACTCATATTTCATGTAACATACAGGAATGATTCAACATACTACTTCATGGAAATGCTGGGATAAAACAAATTATTTAGGTTATACTTTCCTTTGTCTGTTAAAGAAAACTATTACCATTGGTTTGTATATACACTACAGTAATGTAAAAAATGTATATTGCTAACCTAAATTAATAAACATGTTTTCTTTCACAGTTTTGTTCTCATTCACCCATCGAATTTCATTAATTTTTTCATAAAAGCTGTGATAAAATAGGTGTTTTCTGAATAACTCAACAGTTCATAGCCTAGTCCAGTGTTGGACAGAATGCTTTATTAGTACAAATAAATGTAACCGCAAAGGTTTCATGGAAGGAAAGAAATAAAAGTGTGAAATGTATATATAACTTTGTTAAATATTAAAAGAATAAAAAACTTAGAATTAAATAAAAACATGAAGAAAAGATCAACATTAACAGCTTTGCTGTATGAAGGTAACAAAATATTATCAAACAATGATCACAGTCTACTGTACTATAATTATATACTTTGAATGTGTTACGAAACATCAAATGCTCAAATATAGCTCAACACAACAGCTTGAAAACCAAAAATATTTCTAAAAGAAATTTCTCAATTAACTAAAAAAATAATCAATTTGTAACAATATATAATATATATATTATATATATTTAATAACATAAATTATTTGCAACAGTTAACTATAACCAAGCCATCCCTATCTAGCATGTTTGTAATATACAAACAAATTAATTACAATTAGGCAACAACCAAATAACTATTAAATTATTTTATCCTACTATCTTCAACATATTTTATATGTTCTATACAATAAAAAGAAACACTGCAGCTCTTGTGTCATATTTTATGTGTATCTAAGGTTTTTCCAAAAACAAATTTAATGTTTCTAGATTAAAACCATCTCTCAAGGGGGGGGGGGGGGGTTTGAACTTGATAAGTTATGAACAGCATTAATTCATCACAAGTTAAACAATGATTGAAATAAGTAAATTTAAAATTCAGTTAGTTCATTATTTTATGTAAACTTTTACTGTTATAGTTATACTATGACAGTAATTTAAAAAAGAAAGACAAATGAAAGATTTCCTAACTTTCCACTATTCATGCGAATTAAATTGTTCCGTACATTCATGATTTTAACTGTGGTTCCCAGTGAGCAAGATCTGGTTTAATTTGAAACTCAATATATGCATTTGGCAGATTTATTAGGCCTACTCAACATAGTATTTTGAACGGTAAATGTTGCACTGATGTTGAAAAAAAGTCATTGTCTTTCAAAACGGCATTTTACAATAGCTGAACCAGTGTATGTTTCAAAAACACACTGAATAGTAACTATTATTTTACACCACAACATAATGTGTGGGATAGTTAGTGGAAAACTTGTTTTGATTCTAAGAAATCTTTCCTTTAAATCTACGCTGTGATCGGCATGCCTATAAGTCGGATCAGCCTATAAGCTGTCCTACTGCTTGCTTGTTAACAACTAAAATCTGGTCCCAAAACCTCCCCTTTTACCCGTTATTTCTGGACGACACCAAAATTGGTCCTAAGTTGCTCCAGGAACACAAACGTCAAGATGGTGTGAGGAGCAAGGCGAACAAAAGCCGGAACGTAGCCCTGCAAACAAAGGTTAAACTTGATGAATAATGAATTATGAGTGTTCCATCTCTCAAACTTTCAAGCAGAATTTTCTATCTTCCATTCTTTTGTGGAAAGTAAAAGTTTGTTAATACCTGACGTTACAAGTGAATGCATCAAGATACAGTAGAACCTCGCTAATTCGAACCTCGATAATTCAAAAACCTCTATAATTAGTCATGTTTGTCTGTAACCCTCAGAAAACCTCAAAAATTCCAAAAATACTGTACCGATATTCGAAGTGATTTTTTCGATTATTGCTGCCTCTTCAATTCAAATTTTGTTGCCATAACTCGAATTGTTACCACCAAAATTCGAAGTCAACCTCTACAATTCGAACTGCGTCACCGTAAGCCTCTGTAATTCGAATTTAGAACAAAAAATACGCCTGTTGAAACATGTACTGACGCTCTTATGATGTTCCATAATGTGTTCATTATAGTCTCCGTTCTCTCAAACTCTCTACACTTAAAACTGGGACCTCCATAATTCGAATTTTATTTATTCTGACCTCTATAATTCAAACTCTATATATTTCAAACTTCCTATAATTCGAAATATATTGTCTTTCCTCTGAAATTTGAATTAGCAAGGTTCTACTGTATATTTTAGTCAAGGTTACTATAAAGAACTGTTTTCTTCGTCGTACTTTTTGGCTGCAAAAATTCTTAAAACTTTTTCACTGTCTTGCCCAAATTGATGTGACGCTCATGGCCAGCCTAGTGCAAATTTATTGTGTACAGCCTTTTCAATCACGAATACTAGAAAAATACCGGTATGGATCATAAACATAAACAAATGACGTTTTTGGCCCGAAAATAAACATAATTTTCCTACAGTTATCTAACAATGTGTACAGGTTCTCTCACTGATTTGAGAAAGCAAAGTGGCCAATTCGCTCATCAGTGAGACAATGTTAACATTGACTCACTCTAATTACTTTGTCTCACTCCAGATTTGCAACGTGAAGACACATTTCTTTACCAATTTATTTGTTTTATGGTAACTGTAGGCAAAATATAATGTGTGCAACTCGAGTGCAAAGTGCAATCGCCTCACTCGAGAAATCCTTACTCACGAGCCGTAGGGGAGTGGCAACTTCCCTCGAAGGGAGAGGCAATTGCTCACTTTGCTCACTAGCTGCACAAATAACTATTAACATTGTTTGAATGGTACTGTCAAAACATATGTTAATGCTATTATTATAGAACCCGGGCCAAAAACGTCATTTGTTTATGTTTATGATCCATACCGGGTCTTTTCTAGTATTCGTGGTTTCAAAAGGGGTTGATCCCTTACAAAAAATTAATCACAGAACACAATTCTTACTTGGAGGGAGCTTGATTTTCTGTTCCATCGTAATAACTACTATGAAAATACAATGTCTCACATAAAGGTAGAGCCAAATTAAAATAGTCATGAGGGAAGAAAAGGATACAGTATCAGAGATAAGATTCAAACTAGCTTGCTCTATTGGGACAGGAGATTAAACCTTAATTTAGGATAACCTTCTTGCTCTAAAAATAAGATTAAAACTCACCTTAAAAAAGCCGAGGGGGCCAAGCTTAGCTGTGTAAAGGACCAAGTCCCAAATGCCCTGAAAAACAAGAGGAGTATTAGCACAAAAAATACTAAGTGAAATTCCCAAAAGACGTTTACCTAGGACTTTTTCAACTATAAGTTAGTTGTGGCTTGGTTTTGGAATCTTTAAGGCATTACCTTATATAAATCTTATCTTCATAAGCTTCCTACTTGAGGCTTGCAAACAATAAAAATGTGTTACTGTTACTGTTACTTTAGGTTTGCACAATACCATACATGATTTTTACTTCCTATTACTACCTATGATGTTGGATGGATAGTAGGGCAGATACATTTTTCTAATTTGACATTTGGGTGCAAAAAGTATCAATTTACCTTAAAATGTATGTAAAATGAAAGATGAGCTTCTTTTTGCCTGTGAAATCTTAAATGAGTCAATCATACAAAGACAAATCTCTTATATAAAATTATGAAATGATCCAGCTTCAGTTGTGGTTATTAAGGAGCAATTATCTATATATTAATTTGAAACTGTTTTTCTTTGTGACAGCTAATTTGAGAGAACGGCTGGTTGTAGAAACTCGGTAGGGGTCTCTAAAGAAAGGTCTTAGTCTGTAGATGAGCCATCAAAAGAGAAACAAGGTAAATTCCCTTGGGGCTCTGCCCCAGAGGCCTTTAAAGTTCCCTCTTCAGATTTGTTTACATTACGACCATATGCATACATTGAAACAGCTGTTAATATTTAAATTGTGATTTACTAAATTTGTCAATATGAATGATTTGCAATGGGTTTTTTCTGATTTTAAAATCGATTTTCTTCTGAATCGTGCCATGTTTTGCAATATAATTTTCTATTGCCAAATCAGTGGAAAATCCTAATATCACAGTAACTCATAAAATTATTTCTTATGGAGTTAACTTATATCTATTTGGTTGGTTTCTGCCTTTTTTACCACTTCTTGGAGATTGCACGTAGACGATATTCTTTGGCGTATTGCATCTGTAGTAGACGATATACTTGGTTGGTGTAATTTTTTAAATTACAATGGAAAAAAGTGAGAAATACTGGACAATTTTGATATACTAAAAATAAAACTGAATTAACACTGTGCTACATTTCTTGAGCAATAATTGAAAGAGCCGATTTGCAAACAATGGAAACAGGAAAGTCATAGAACTCAACTAAGTACAGTAGAAGAAATATAAATAATGTTTTTTTTTTTTATTTATAATCGTTATTATAGACAACCTAATGCGGCTATGGTTATGGTGTAGGTCATAAAGTATCTAAATGCCAAAAACGGTGAGAGCCCCGAGGGCTTAGGTCACATGTTGGCCTGACTTGAAGTAATGTGACAAACAATTCCAGGTCTGTGTCCAACAGAGTAGAGGGGGTTTTTTAGTGAGTAGTCTGTGATAGTTTCAGGAGTCTCACACTACAGGCTGGCTACCTGTGTGCGTAAAAGCATTTTCCCTCCTCTCCCTTAAAAAAAAAATTCGGCTATGAGTAGGGAAAATTTAACACTAAAAAACAAGGTCAGCTTTTGAAAAAAGATAAGATATTTACAAAAAATTTTGATTATATCTATCTGCTGTGTACATCTTGAGTATTTCCATAATCTTTGAGACGACTCTTATAGTCATCGGAAATTATGACTGTTATTCGTTTTAAAATAACGCCTGTAATGCTTCGCAATTGCTCGAATTTGAGCAACAGGTACACTAGTTAATGGAGATTTCCTACTCAACTGGTTTCAATTGTAAGTATGGAAAAAGTAAATATCAGCTTTTGAAACTATAGTGATAACCGTTTTCATTTATTTTTTTACATTTCATAAACGTTTGGTTCTTTTAAGAGTAGTAAAACATAAATCGATATTACTTTTTACAGATTATTACTTTTCCAACAATTGACAAAGCAGAAACGTTTTCATTTTGGTAATCTCTTTTGGGAAACACTAGAACAAAGTAACTGTCAGTAATAGAACACTGTGTCATGTTAGGATCCTTATGATTAAGTGGAAATCTTCTTACCTTGAATTCTCCTGGCTTAGCGTTCATTGCTCTTGTCTTGAGAACATCCAGTGGTTGTGTAAGAGTAGTAGCCACGGCCCCCTGCAACAGTCATACCAACATGACAAAAGTGTGCCACTGTTGATATGTAATAGATATTTACTTACTTCAAACTTGACGTACGTTTACGTTTACTTGATGTAGAAAATTAATGGACTAGGTAGCTTCAGTTCACACATGTGGATGTATAATTCAGTATCCAAAACAAAACCAATTGTATTAACCACAAGCCAACAGGAACCTAGGTAATTTGATTACCAACCATCAACATATAGGAAAATTGAACATGTCATGTTCGTAATACTGCATCAAAAACTGCCGTTTTAATAGTCTACATATGTTGCGGGACTAAAGGTTCTCTTTTACTCCCTCTTTTTAGTCCCTAGGGAGTAAAGAAGCCTTTTTAGTAAAAGTCAGGTGTATAAAACTCAGTAAAATTCTATGTTTTTTGTAAGATTAGTAAGCAATCGCATGTTTCGATTGATGTCATCGGTTGTAGCTTATTGTTGCACCGTAACATCATACTGGCGACAGGCGTGAGTCTCAATGGCGGCCTACCACCGTGCACCTATTCTGCACATGCCAAGGTCAACGTGTCCTCACTTTTGCTACATGGGAAACAAAACTTAGTTATTTTAGCCTAAATTTGACGTAGCCTAAAAAATGTTTAGTTACCTTGAATAGTGCCCAAGCAATTACATTAAAATCCTGGCATTCTTTTGTGGAAACTGATAAACACTAGGCCTAACACAATTATTGTAATAGGCAAATGATTGAATCACTTACTATAGGTACTTAATTCACAAAATTTAGGGGGTTTTAGTGGAAGAAACCCATCCCCTCCACTTGAACTTTTGAAATAATAGCTCAACAGGCTGAGGTTTGCCAAAATGTCTATCAGCTGCAACATGTATATTAAACAAACAAAAAAACGTGGGGGGACATATCTGCCAAGCGCTGCTTATTTGCATTAATTAGCAAAATTGAAAACAAGTTAGAAGTTGTTTTTAAATGTTACTATAGATAAAAATTATTTTTGTTTTGTAACTTAGTTTGTTAAACAATGTTTATGACCAAAAATATGCAATGAACAAATTGACAAAAAAAAAACAGACAATTTCAGAAAAACGGCTAAGGCACTCTATGAGTTTGGCCATAGCTACCTCTAATACACAAGGACACGACACTGGCAACGATTGTTGGACACTGGCGTTGGTTGTTGGAACTGGCAACGTCGCAATCATCCACCGCCTGGGTCCGGCACACACGCTAGGCTATGGGAGTAGGCCTATTACTGTTTTTGATGCTCTGTATCAAATCATGAAAGTATGTAAATGACATAAAATCTTAGTGGATTTTAGGGTATGGTAAAATAGACAATTAGAATCAAGGTATGGTACCTAGCTTATTTATTTAGTAAAAATATACAACATAGAACAATATGTCTAAAACTAAAAATACAAACAAAATGTTTTTATTTGGTTGTATTTATGTATTGGAAGTACGATGAATGTGGAAATGTCTGTATTTTGCATATTTTCCTTGTAAATTTGATAATTTTAAATAAAACTAACATTGCAAATGGATTTCTAGAGACTAACATCTAATAATTTGTTAAAATAAAATGATTTTCAATTTGAAATACAGTAGAAATATTAAGTTTTAGCCTACCTGAGGATTTTGGAACCATAAGTCTAGCTAGCTACAACAAAATTTGAAGTTTTATTTTCTTGTTTGAAGGCATACTGACTGAATAATTTATTTTATTTGAATAATTGTTCAGCATAACAATCAATCAATCATTGTATTGTACTAGTCGTAAGCAATTTTTGTCATATGTTTACCAATATCAAAAAGGGGCTGTCCGTTGGAATGTAAAATAAAATAAAAATAAGTAAAATAAAATGTTTGCCATTTTGTAAACGATTTCAGAAGCTAGGCCTAATGGCTTTCCACAATTAATATTCATTGAATGTTATAACCAAATCAACATTCAGATGAGTCAGACTCTGATGCTTTCATTGTTATATAGTGTAGTGCATATTTTTGACTAGTACTTAAGGGGGTCAGTGTGTTTAAAGGTGTCCAATCCGACCAAGGAATGGCATGAAGCCATTGTTGCTTACGTGACGGATCACTTGGGTATCCTTCAGTTTTAAATGAGCTTTCGTAATTACTCTTGCTCCCCCGGGCACAACCCATCTATCTGGCATGTTGTAGTAACAAGTTCAATGTCATTACTAACTAATTATTTAGGTTGTAGTAGAAGCGCAAATAAGTAAGTCGGTACGCTACTCCTCAATTCATTGTAATGGTAAGGCGATCGCACTTAGGTGCAATGTTGCCAGTTCTCGCTCGCCGCGGCCTTGTGTACTGGAGAAGGCTATTGTTTGGCTCATTCAGCTGTGGTATGTTCTTTAAAACGAATACTTTGAATCAGCTGTTCCATATAGATGGGATATATCTACTTATCCAAAAGTTCATGATACAGTTTAGAGGGTTTCTGCTACATAATGACATTAACAAAATAACCTAGGCTATTACAAAATGACGTTCTACTCACAGCTGTTAGACTAGAGAGGAAGTGAGTGCCAGGATTGTCAGTGAAGTAGCCAGACGCCAGCAGCATCAGCTTGACCTGGTCGTAGAAGGACAGTTGACCCACAGTCATCAGCACAGCTCGGCTCGTGGCTGTACTGGCTCCAGCAAACAACCGAGTGAACCCTTCCTCTCGATACACTCGGAACAGTCCATCAAAGGCATGCTTGTAACTAGAACAGCACATACACTAATGTTATGTGTTCGTTTTGTTTGTATCATTACTGTAAGACAGCACACACGGTTGTATATTTTAGGCTAAGAGAAATCAGATTTCTCACTGTGATAGACCACCAGATCTGTTTATTTTGTTTCCTCACAGCTTTGAGTTGTCCTTGTAGCCGTAGCCATGAGTTTCACCGAATGCAACAGAAAGTTTCTGACCTTCAAGTGTTCTGAAGTTTCAAGGCCTTTTTTTTATTTTCGTGTTGTTTTGTGCGTTTTTCGTGCAAGAATTGTCTTACATTACAAGATGTACATCAATGAGCTGACAGATATGATTAAAGCTTGATTGAAGCCACTACAAGAACATTTGGTATGTATATTCAAGAAAATAGATAATTAGTTTTATTTTTACCACTGTTTAGAATATGGTCTGCTCTTTCACTATGACATGCACACAGTTTATGCACACAGTTTACAATACATATTTTATGGAAATGAGTTGTGATTTGATTTACGGCAAGTTAACAATCTTTATTACTTTGAATGTGCAATCCGTTGGGTGTCGGTGTCGTAGAAATAATTCTAACCTGTACTCACTTTCTTCTCTTGTCCACAGGGAGTTTGATGTCGTTCTGCATTCTAACGTTCACCAGGTCCGCTGGAGTTCCCACAATTCCCCCCGCCGCACCGGCCGCAGCAGCCATCCCCACTCTCTCCGGGAACGATATAGCCTCCCCATGAGGAGCTACAGCCTGCTTGGCTATCTACGACGCAACAAGTGCATTTCATTAGACAAATTTAAGACATCACTTAATCAGATGGATTAAATGGATTAGAAGATCTAAATATATTATGTTAAGACTAAATTTTTAAGTAAACCAGAGGAAAAATATTAATCATCAGAGCAATTTTAATTATTAGATTATTTGAAGGAGGTATGTAAACACTGAATATTTTCTTTAAATATTCATACAATAATTTTTTTCTTACATTAAATGCCCATAAGGTGACCTCATGTCTGTGGGAAACTTATATATACTTACTTACTTACTCCCATGGCCATTTGTACCCCAAGTGGTACTTGGCCTCACCAACACACTGTCTCCACGTCTCTTGTGGTATCTTCATTAACTTCCATCCTGGCCATAGCTTTCTTTACTTCATCCGTCCAGCGTTTCCTCGGTCTCCCTCGTGGTCTCCTCCCCAGTGGGTCACTTTTCCATATTTGATAGTGTGCTAGTTTCCTCTCTTCTAATGATATGGCCCGTCCAGCGAAGCCTCCTGCTTTTAGCCTCTGCAATTAAATCTGGCTCTTTGAACAGGTCTCTTAGTTCCTGATTATGTTTAATTCTCCACACATCTCCTTCTTTAGTAGGGCCAAAGATTTTGCGCAGGACTTTATTTTCAAAAGTAATAAGTTTTTTCTCTGTGTTTTTATCCATAATCCAGGTTTCAGCTCCATAAAGAAGGACAGGTCTTAACACTTAAAGTAGCCAATTTTATTAGTTTATTTGGGATTCCAAAACTTTCCATTCTATACCAATTTTTTTCCCTATGAATGCTATCATCCGTTTTGCTAAAATCAATAAATAGGCCATAGAAAGATTTACCAAAGACCCAATATTTAACTATTGCTTCCTTAAGAGTTTGATCTGTTGTGGACCTGCCCCTTTGAAAACCAGCTTGGTGCTCTTCAATTATTTCCTCTGTGTATTCCTCAAGTCTCTTCTGAAGTATCTTGGACATTACCTTATAGGAAGTACTTAGTAATGATATTCCTCGGTAGTTATTTGGGTCCCATTTATCACCCTTTTTGTGGATTGGGATTATTATTGTATTTCTCCAATCTTCCGGTACATTTTCTTCCTTCCATACTTGTAATATTAATTTATGTAGCCTTTTTGCTAGCTCAGGTCCTCCAGCTTTCAATATTTCAGCACTTATTCCTATATATGCCTATATATGCTTAAACTTATATATGCCTAGTGATTAAAAATTAATAGATGGAAAGTGCCAATAGCTTTCATCTAGTCTAACCGAGAACCGTCAAAGTGAACTGCAGAGCTCGATTCTTGAATTTAAGGTGCCAGAACTGAAAACTAGTATTCTTTTTGGAAACATTTATTTTAAATCTGTTAAAAGTTTAAACATTCATTTCGCTGGAGGGAAATTTAGACCAAAATTAAGTCCCTTAAAATTAAGTCCAGGTGCTTTATACAATCTTATGTTTCCAACATGCAGCAGTGTTGTGTAGTAATATATAATTCACTGTAGATATCCATCCCAGTTTTACTTTCTTTTAAAACAAATCAAAAGTCTTGTTTAAGATTATAAATAATAGTTTTTGTGTAGATTATAAATAATTGGACATGATTATGAAACTTTAGGTCATTAATAGGGTAAAACCTTTGACTATTAACACAACTTCTGTATCCAATAGTAAATGGTAAAACTTGAATTTTACCAAGAGATATCAATTATTTTAGGAGAAACTCTTCAAACGCATAAGATTGTAAAAGTAAAATTACCCAAATTCACGGTTCTAAATTGTGTATGTCTTTTGATTTTGCCTAGTTGATTTGTATAAACCTTATAGTCGATGGATTCCAACACATAATAATCACAATCGCAATGAAGGTCAATGGGGGGCAGCCAAGGTCATGAGACGACCTTGACATGTGATGCACTTATTTCTCACCATCACAGACCCAACTGTATCAACATATCACCCGTCGTCTGCTGCTATTTGCAATTGCCCAACACTGATAATGAAGTAAATTTAAATGACAATTACATGGCTAAAAACTAAAATGCAAAGAGAAATATGAATAATTGTCTTAATTACTGTATTAAATTTATTTAATAAGACAATACTAAAGAGTGAAGATAAATTATTATTTAAGCATTAATTAGGGGGTGAAAGAATGCTACGAGTCCAAAATGTTTAGTTAAATTTTTAGTAGACACGTTCCAAAATTGGCAAATACAATTTAGTAAATATTATTTTTATTTTTATAGAAGCATTGTTTCTTTAAAAATACATTTATTCACACTTATTGTTTATTTATATTTGGGTAGCAACATGCTTTAGATGATCCATTATTACAAAAAAGTGATCAAACTAATTTTAGCAATAGTTAAGTAGAGAGAGATAATTTACAAAGAACATTTCAGATAATGATGGTCCAAATTAGACCAGTAGGCTAATCATCTCTTCTGCTGATCTGATTTTTTTGGAATCAATACCAAACTCTAGTTATTACAAACTCTCACAAGAAAGAGGTAGGATGAAAATAAGTTTAGGAAGCAATCGACCTGGAAAAATGACTCGCACCCATTTTGGTTAGTAACTTAAAAAGAAATAGAACAATTTTGTCTATTTCATTTATTAAATCAGTAATGACACAAAGTAGCTTTGGTACAACTAAAATTAATTTGTTTATTTTTGTGAACTTTGGAGACAATAGAGATAGGTAGAAATCTTTTAAGGACTTCTTCCAGTTAAGAGGTTATATTTAACAATGTATACGTAGATACAAGGTTAGCCAACATACCTCGTATATGCCGAACCTAGTAGTAGAGTACGACAGCTGACGACATAATGAAGCTGACAAGCCATTGTATAACGCCAGAAAACCCTGCTCTCTAACGATGGTCCCCGTCAGTCTGACAATGGAGATCTTGCCTTCCTGCTGAGTCTGCAGATGAACCTGCGACATTTCATCAAAATAAATGTTATATCCAAATTAATATTAATTCTTCTTGAAGATTATATCCAAAGTTGTTTGGGGATGTTACTAGTGTAGTGGAGCATAGGCCCTGAGATTTTGGAAAGACAATATATGTGAGATAAACAAAATTTTCTCTTAGTCATCCGGGACGGTGGAGTCGTCCTGTAATCCAGCTAATAGTAATAGGAGGTCTCAAATTGTGGATATTTATAGAGTTGCACTGTGGATGCGATACTCCCTGGTGTGGATATCCGTCCGCACTAGTGAGTACTACGACTATCCGCAGTACTATCCTGATAATTAGACTAATTCGTTAATACCAACTACCACGGCAAGAATGTGGTTCGGATTCCACGATAAACTGTAGGTGCTTTAGTTGCCATTAGCTGTTTGGGTTATTAACAGCTGTGTCTATGGAATATCTCGGCCTTAGTCACTAACAAGACTACAAGATTGTGTCACTCATACTACACTCGTCCTTCACTCATATTTTGGTTCAAATATGCACATAGTGGCGTCCCCATCTTAAATAATTCATATATTTGATAAGTTTTTTTCTAAAATGAATATGGATGTGCAACTAATTCATACGGCAGGATTTTAAGTACCACTTTATTCTCTTCCGTATCCTCTTCCCAATGCAAAGCACGGACATCACAGCTAGTCTACTATTTAGATGGAATATGTCTATGAGATAACAAAATCATCAACTCAGTATATGGTAAGGGAGACTCATAAGGAAGTTCCGTCTTAAAACAGAGTTACTGTATTATCATCTTCGTAAATGTTTACGCTTTCTGTGATTATAAGCTCTAAGCAACGTTTACACAAGACCAGTAGACAGACAGATTAAAACCTGCTTCAGTAAGTGTATTTCAAGCTACCTGAGTCAGTTAGCCCGCCTTCCTACTACACTTGTGTAAACGCTGCTTTGGAAATAAAATATATATTTATTAGTGAGCAATTCTAAGTATCTATGATGCTCAGTTAATCAAACCAGAAATATACAGTATCACACTATATATTTATTAGTGAGCAATTCTAAGTATCTATGATGCTCAGTTAATCAAACCAGAAATATACAGTATCACACTAGATACAAGTGTAGGACAGATACAGATTTCAACTACTTTGTTTGAACTAACTTGTTTTGTTTGAAGCTATAAATCAAAACACAAAAGTCGGAAAAAGTCTTAATTTTTAATTGAGAGATGAAAGCAGTTGCAAAACAATATTGGTATGCAAAATCCTATCAGTAATAGTAGTTTTATCAGTAATTTAATGGCAGATAAGCAGAATGATCTTTCAAAATAAGATAAACCAAGAAGGTCAGTTTTGACACAATATACTCCCCATGAGCACTTTGTTGTTGTTGGTTTTCTTTTATTAGTTTAGTTTTGCCAACATTAATGAAAAATGTTTGGAAGATATAATTAAGAGAATTGTCATGAAAGAAATATGTTATATCTCATTACACCTTCTGGTGAAAAAACTATTTAATATAAGATCAAACTAGTGTAATTTAAATAGGGAATTGGTTCCTGTTGCAAATAAGATATTCACATTTTAATTGTATATTTTTTACAAAAGCTACACTTCACATTTGCACTAAAAAAAAACTGGTTAATTTTTAAAATTGTGGAGCTAAAATCATATTTCATCTAGTTAGCTATATAGTCCATGGGCCAACTAGCCGAATTGAAGGATATGGTATAATTTGGGGGTACTAATTTTCCTTTTCACCAAAGTTATACAGGTCTATTAGGATGTCGAAAAATCATGATTGCCATCTCAAAGTGGTATCTAATAGAAATGGCGGATAATCCAAGATGGCGGATGTCGAGTTTTAGAAAACCAACTATATCTCTGGAACTATCCAACCTATTTCATTGTTTCTTTTTTTAAACTAAAGCTCTATATATGTGCTACAAATGTCGTCATATACACTAGTTCGATAAAATTAACCGTTAGTTAGTAATAAAGGAAATGTTAATTATTTTTCTAATTTTTATGTCAAAACCAATTTTATTAATAGATTATTTAAGAGTTATATGTACATTTAAGCTATAAAACAGACTACATATGTAGTGTGATGAATTCTCTTCAACTTGATATATTACATGTAGGTATCTGATAGCATAACACCGAAAAATCACTTTAATGTCGTAACGTCTAAACAAAAATTAAAAGTCATCTTCGTCACTTTCAGAAGATTCGTTCAAATTAAAATCCGCGTTTTCTTCCTCTTGTTCGGTATAGTGTTTTCACAATTTGACAGTCTATACGCATTAGTGCACTTTAGATTGTTAACCATAAAAGAACATGATGGAACTTGGCACGACTTTATCATAGATAAAAGGAGTATGCTATTATGTTGCAAATTGCCTCACCCATCAATTGCAAGTGGAATTGCGTGGAATTGCAAGTGGTAGTATCATCGTTGTGGTTATACATCGATGCATTAAACAGGAGCAACTTAGGAGTTCTACGACTGCTTCAGGGGCTGGTGCTCCAGTCATCCACTTGATTTTTAGCCCACCATCTTCGTCCAGCATCCATCCATGATTCTCAGGTGTTGGGATTTCAGGAAAACTATTCAAACATTGCTTTCAAATAGCTGTTTGGTAATTAGCTCGTTTAGAATGTTGATTTAAGCAATCTTGACATGGAGGAAGTTGAGCTGAGTCCACTTGACCTTGCCGACTTTGAAACATGTAAGTTCGTCTACGTTTTCTATTTTGGTGTTTCTTGAATACAACTTACAGGTGAACTTGTTGATTACATTTTGAATTTTGATCATACTTCGTCAGGGCAAACTCATTTCCAAGCTGTGAAAACAGCAACCATCCAAGCTGACATTCAAGCTGTTGCAAATTTTTACAGGGCGAATAAAAAGTCAAGACCCCCCCCTCTAATATTTTTCTAAGTAGATACAGAGACATCCTTTTGGATGTCTTGCAATCTTAGCAGGAAGTTTCATTTTATGATTTTGAAATTTTGAGTGGAAAAGGGGGGGCGTTTTGGGGGCAACTCAAAAATTTTAAATGTAAACACCCTTTAAGTGACACCTCATTTTGAAGTGTTTAAAAAACTTAAAGAATGGTGGAAATCAGAGTTCGCTATCTCTTCTCTGTCCAAAATGGTAGCCAGTATTACAATTACGAACCAATATTTGATTTTGGAGCAAACTCTGGTCTTCACCATTCTTTAAGCTTTTGTAAAAACTGTTAAATAAGATGTCACTTGAAGGGGGTTAACATTCAAAAAATGTTGGTTGTCCCGAAAATCCCCCCTTTTTAGGGGACATTTTTAACAATTTCAAAATCATAAAATGAAACTTCCTGCTAAGATTAAACGACCACCAAATATCTCTGTATATTTACTAAGAAAATATTAGAGAGGGGGGTCTTGACTTTTATTCACCCGGTATATTGCTTTGTAACAGTTTCAATGCTTTGAGCTTTCCTTGTCCTGAAAACGCACTCACAGTGTCACAGCCAGTCCACGCATGTAACCCAGGGACAGCTGATTTGACACTACAGCCAACCACAGATGCTAGTCTTGTTATGTTTACCAATCTGATTCGGCCACTAGAACCGCGTCTTATATACAGGTTACTCTTTATGTTGATGTCGGATGATATGTAGAGAGCTATGACTAACACGTCTGTATCATCAGATACACAAATGAAATTTGGAAATTCCATAGCAGCGTCCTTTACACGTAGCATCATACGTGTATCCGCTTCTTCTTGAGAACAGGCAAGTTTGTGTACTTCTTGAAAACCACTGCCAGTTATTTTAATACACTTGTTAGAGGAAGTTACGTGTAATGTATTGTTACCAATTTTCATCTTTTTACTTTCTTCTTGCCAACTTTCAGCAAGAAACTTGGTTTAATTATGTTTTACTGTCACCACTTAGTAGAAGACTTCTCTATTTTATGATTCTGTGACCACCTTTAATATTCTTGAAGTGATTCCTGCATCTGAACCTCTACTACGACGTTCAGCAGATTTTATTGACTTGTTTTTATAAGTGTCAAATACAACATCAATTCAAGTCCTATGATAGGCTGCTTTTAAAACTTGATTGAGGATTGTATCAGTCAATTGATAAAATATGTTGTATTTTCTCCATGTATTTTTTAAAATTAATGCCATCCCATCAATTATACCCAGCAGATATATTTACATCTGCATGTAAGCTCTCCAGGTGTTATCCCAGCACAGACTTCGTTGTTTTTAGCGAATTTCCTATATAGGGAATAAGCTATTACCATAGTACTCATGGTAAGACCTTGACCCGGGAACGATATAATTTTTGTTTTTGAGATCCCAAGAGGCCAAAAACAAAATCCGTTCAAATTCATATATATATAATCGTTAGCGCGATAACTCGAGCAAAAATTATCCGAATTTGATGAAATTCAATACATTGAATACAAATTGAATACAAACGTGTAAAACTACGTTTATTTGAACAAATTCGCAAACCAGCATATTGAACCATGGGAACGGGGTTTATGGGTTAAAAGTGGGGGTTTCCCATTTTTGACTCTAAAAACAAAATATTTTGCAATTTCTTTTCAACCCGTTTTGTAGAGATTAAAAAATGAAATATTTTAGTATATTGAAGCGTTTTTGTATGCCTAACGGTCACAGAGAAAATTCAAAAATAGTGTTATTTAAATTCCCATGTTATTCTTATGGAGAAAATGAAAACTGTCTTGTAGTTTACTTGTTTATGGATATATATTGATAAAATTTGGCAAATTTATTTATTTCATGCTATACTATTGACGTATGGCCAAAAAACACTTTTTACCTTCCCCGTAGCAGCAAACCTAAGCACTCGTTAAATCTAATGTTTATTTAAATTGGGAATAAATATGTCTTATTTATGGAAATGTTGTTTCTTCCGGGCAGCAATAACCGAAGGTTATATTATAGAAATGTATACTTAAAAACAAGAAAAAATATTGAAATTGTTAAAAAGCTATTTTGAAAACATAACAATATTTACCTCAAACATAATATTTTTCTGCGCTCAGTTACCGTATTTTTTTGAACGGTGGATTTTAAAATTTAATTTATATTTCTTATCTTTTCGGTGGAATCCATTCATGCAATATATCAAATTGAAGAGAATTTATTACACTACATATATAGTCTGTTTTATAGCTTTAATGTACATATAACTCTTAAATAATCTATTAATAAAATTGGTTTTGACATAAAAATTAGAAAAATAATTAACATTTCCTTTATTACTAACTAACGGTTAATTTAATCGAACTAGTGTATATGACGACATTTGTAGCACATATATAGAGCTTTAGTTTAAAAAAAGAAACAATGAAATAGGGTAGATAGTTCCAGAGATATAGTTGGTTTTCTAAAACTCGACATCCTTGGATTGGCCGCCATTTCTATTAGCTACCACTTTGAGATGGCAATCATGATTTTTTGACATCCTAATAGACCCGTATAACTTTGGTGAAAAGGAAAATCAGTACCCCCAAATTATACCGACATGTTGGCTGGCCCATGGACTAATAGAGGTTTGATTCAATTTCCTGTCTGTGCCAAAAAAACGTGCCAGATGCCAACAATTCATGGCACTGATGAGACAGATGGGCGCAATCATTTGAATGGCACTCCGGCAGAGATTAGAGATGCCAAAGTGTAAAAACAGCTGACAATTCATCTGTTTGCACAGACTACCCAATAAATTATAAGAACTCCCCTCCAAGAAATAGAGCCGATTTTTTTTACTTAATAAATAACTAAATTAGTTTTTAAGTACTGGGTTCATTAAAGAAACTAGTTACCTGTAATTTTACTTACTTGAATGTTTATTTGCTATATAAACAGTTGACCAAAAGAATTTAAAAAATGTACCAGTCATTTTCATCTTGAGGTTTTGTACAGGAACTTGGCTTCAGTTCAGTAATGTGTGAATTGGTTTGAACATGGTACAAAGACACATTGAACAATGGCTGTTTGTTCTGCCACTCATCATGTTTTAAACGTTTAACACAAATTCAACAGTTTGAAAGATTACCTTCGTGAGTTTAACAAACTTTTCGAAAAAGGGGAAATTTCATTCAGTATTTTGAACATGGTACCTACCGGAAAATTATAAGAGTATTAGATCAATGACCACTTTTTTTGGAACAAATTAAATAAGACAACTGGATTTAATTAGATGAATCAGTATTGTAATGGTATTTTCCCCATAAGCATTCTAATCATTACAATTGGTCAGTTTACAGCCAGTTTTTATTTAATTATTTATTTTTTCATAAGATTTGGGTCTTGTTTTTAGTTTCTTTTTCAAGCTTGTTTACGAATAATTTTCATATAAGGACAGTAATTGCTGTTTTGTTTAGGTCTAATTTTTTAAGTACCGTACAGTTTTTCTTATAAAGTGTTACATGTTTTTAAAGGTGTCAGCTAAAGTATATTTAACACACAGGAAATTAGTACCATGATAAAATACTCCGTTTCTCTATATTTTCTCTTTAGAGATAGAATACGCCTTCCTCAAGATTATAGAATATGGACTGATGAAAACTCGGGTGATTATGTTTATGATCATTATGTTTCTCACGGGCTTTGCCTATTTGGGGATCATCCAATTATTTTTTAGAATTATTGCAATTTCTGTCGACCAATTTAATTTTCATGGAATAAATTATATTTGATTTGATTCCTGATATTCGAAAAATATTCAATCTTTCACAAATAACAATTCTAAAAATAATTTTTGTAATTTACATACTTCTCATATTGTGTAAATTAAATCTGGGGACTAATATTTCAAAAGTTAAACAAAATAGAAAACAGTTCACAACAATATAATAAGCAGCTATACACCACATTAGGGATCTGACAGAAGATAAGCTATCAGTGACCTTGACTGTCTTTCTCCATGTTCAAAGTCATTCAAGTCATTCACTTCTTTTTCTGTACACTATCATCAACCTGAAGCTTGGTGCAATGTTTAACCTGCATTCCAACTCTAACCCTTCCCGGACAGCGTATAATATGTATACAGACAAAAATTATTTTAAAAAAACCAAAAATATCTTTTTCACATCTGTAATTTTATAGATTGATGTAAATTGTTGACCTTTGCAGCACTTTTGTCCAAAATATTTTTGTTATTTTTTATTTTGAAAAACATTCCTACTACATTGGTTAAAGATATAATTGAATTCAAAAGACCGTTTTTACAAAGAGTGATGTTGTTATATATATTCAACTATAACAATAGATGTCGTAATAATCGGTGGATATATCCGTCCACGGAACCAAATAGATAGGTGGATATATCAGCCTACCCTGCGCTATGCACAGAATGATACCGGATATATCCGACTATAGTCCGGGAAGGGTTAAGATTAATAATTGTAATCATTAACCTAGATCTTGTTGTGATGTTTCAATGTTTCAGATGCATCCTAATGAAATAGAAACCTCTTTAACATAGATTTTGGATGGAAATTGAAAATAAAACTGTAAACTCTCTAAAACAAGAGACTTCCAATGATAACAGTAATTTAATTTAAGACCCAAAAAACAAATTATGATTTTATGACATAAGCCGGCAGTAAAAAATATTTTATAGAGTCACTGCATGAATGTATAGTTCTTGTATAATATAACTAGGGCATATAAATAAATTATATTTAATAAATATAAAGGTTACTTACAGTCTTCGCAATCCTGTAAATTGAGCACTACGGCCGTTTCGGAGATAACTCCATCGTCGGGTGCGTAGTCATCATACACTAATCTGAGCTATTTACATATTTACATTTTTTACGTGGTTTCTTCATTTTCATTGCGTCAAAGTTTAATAAATAGTACAAACGTGCCTTAATGTTTTCGTGTCGTGTCCGTGTTTTGTGTTGTATGTACTATTTATTAAACTTTGACGCAATGAAAATGAAGAAACCACGTAAAAAATGTAAATATGTAAATAGCTCAGATTAGTGTATGATGACTACGCACCCGACGATGGAGTTATCTCCGAAACGGCCGTAGTGCTCAATTTACAGGATTGCAAAGACTGTAAGTAACCTTTATATTTATTACACCCAATCTGCCACATTGATTAATCTTGTATATTTAATAGGCCAAAAAATTTATTTTCACCATATTACTGTCAATAACGTTTATCTAGGTGTTCCAATCTCCCTTACCCAACTTTGAAATTGACAAGTGGGGAAGTATAAACCATCTTGCACTCTTATAGAGTTTCTCAAAGGTGAGTGAGCGTAGCGAACGAGCTCCAACCCAAAGGTGAGTGAGCGTAGCGAACGAACTTCAACCAGGACGTGATTGAGCGATGCGAACGAGCTCCAACCTAAAGGTGAGTGAGCGTAGCGAACGAGCTCCAACCCAAAGGTGAGTGAGCGTAGCGAACGAACTTCAACCAGGACGTGATTGAGCGATGCGAACGAGATCATCTTGAAAATTAAACGTAACGGTACTTTCTTTCCATCGGTCTGTCTTAGGGGAAACCTATAACTTAGGCGATACGAAGTTCGCCGGGTCAGCTAGTAATTTCTATAATAGTATGACTAAACTAAGTCCAGGAGTAGAGTTTGTCATGCTTGAAGGATAAAATGTGTAACCAAAGTTCGAGAAAAGCTTTATACATTGGATAACAAAATGGATTACTGATTCATTGATCGCTTTTTAATGTTATGCTCAATGATGGATAAGATAAAGAGTCAAAAGCATATTAATTAATACAAGCTATTTTTCTGCAAAGCGTATAAGCCTGAACTCTGCCAAACAAACACAAATTTGCAAAACGCGTAGTAGGATTGTTCTGTGTAAGAAATATTTGTAGACTAATGCCGGATTAACAATATTTTACTATGTATTATTGATCTTTCACGGACTAAGAATTGTAAAATTACAAGTCAGGGAGCCTATTGAATAGATTCTAACTAAGTTATATGGATCTTCAAATTTTAAAATATTTACCTTAAGGAGATCGAGAGGATGGGTACAACAAGCAGCACCTGCTGAGGCCAGTCCACCAAAGTACCACCTCGACAATCTCTTCTCCCCCATTCTATAGTCTGACCTCAGCTGCCAACAGATGACAGGATAAAATGTAAACTTGTTAAAAAGAAGTCAATTATAAGTCATTTGTAGAACTAAACTGTATTTTGAGTAGGCCTAGGAAAATTCAAAATTCTGTTGAGTCAAAATGATTTTAGATAATGATTCAAAGGCAAACCAAGATAGTTAATTATTTTTTAGACTAAGGGTGAGCTTCTTAGGTTGGGATGACATATTTTCAGGTTTTTTTTTTTTTAATTAGGCTACTTTGTGTATACCGAATCACATCATGCCTAACTAGCAAATGCAATAAATATTGATACTACCAGTCGGTTTTATTGTTAATGACAATATTTTGTCTTAATTACGTAATCATACACTCATACAGTATGAATTTTACATCAACTAAAATGATTGACATAAGCTTAATATCCAAATGTTTTTCTTCAGGTTCCTGTCTGGCTTTAGTTAAACTCAAGTCATACTGTTTTTTGAAAACATGGACCTTTTACGTTATACGACAACCAAATTGTTTTATTAGGTTAAAATTTTAAAACTAATTATCTACAAATCCTGTTCAGGATTATGTTATTTTAGATTGTTTTGGGTTAAGCACAGAGAGGTAAGAAACAGAGGATACATTCAAAGGTACACTTAAGTGATGTCTAGCACCAGTTGCTGGTGTCTAGAGCAAATTCTATTCGTCATCCCCTCCCGCTCTTTTTCCCTACCTCGCCATCACGTACTAGAGCACTAACGCTGCAGGAAGACCTTGTGCGCTACAACAACTGTACAACAACACTATGTGGCCATCGCCGTTTGGACGATTCCTGGCTCATTTCAAGTACGTTTTGCCCCAAGAGCTAAAGTGCATGGTTGTCCCATAAGCATAAGTTAGATATCCTCTGTAGCCTATCTTACTTCTCTGTAGGTTAGTTTAGAATCAACACATAACTTAAAACTGTGGGTTCAATTAACTTCGTCAATACATACATAAGTTGAGTTAAGTTGTAATCAATTGTTAATTACATAAGATTAGTAGACCTAGTACTAGTTAAGTTATAACAGTAAAGGTCCGAAAATTTGTAAATTTTATGTACAGCAAATGTTTTTCCTGGGGTTTACAGCCCAGCTTGACCAATTAAACGAAGTGACAAAGTGAACTTGTTTTAATCACCATGTAATGTTTAGGCCCACATTGAGGATTTGAGTAAATAACTTCACCCTCAATTGTTTATCTTACACAAAGGTTCCCCAACCTCTATAACGATATTGTAATACACTATGCATTCAAACAACACTACAATGTGATTAGGCTTTAATTTCAAGTTAACTAAATACTGTAAAAAAATATAAACGTTATTACCAAGTCATCGAGCAACGTTTCTCCGAATAACTTAATAAATACAAACTCAAGTTAACCTTCACCTGAATTCTGAATTAATAATCTTGTTACCAAGGTCTCGTTATTTCAGTGAGGCGCTTTCATTTTTATGAGGCTATTTCTGCTCACATTGCATCAAAATTAATAACATGTACTTAATTCATAAAAAAATATTTATTAAAGAAAATTATGTAATCTAATTAAACAAAATAAGTTACTTTCGCCGGGTGAAAATGATGTAAACACACACTTACCAAGTGACAGCCACAGCGCCCACAGCTTCGAAGTAACACACACAGCTGATTGCCGATTGTGCAGACGCAAAGACAGTACAGTAGCAGTAGGATAGGAACACTTGGTTCTTTGTAATACACAAATAGAAATAGCCAATAGCAGTATCGAAGCCAGGTTGCAGTGCAGTGCTGACAACAACACTCTTACCGAGATAATCTCCTTCCACTTGAAATTCCCTTTGCGTGTATACATCTTCACAATGTACTATAACTATAACAATGTTCATGAGAACAGCATGAGCAGACTTCTCATTTAACAATTGACCATACACTTACACTTAACTTACTCACTTACTATACTGTACTATACTGTAGCAGTATAGAGGTGCCCCTGAACGGCAGGTAAAATCATAGATTAAAGAAGGTCTACTCCTTTAAATCTATGGTAAAATGCATTTGTGCACGGGCACTCCCATATTGCTAAGGATGTAAAATAGTGTCGATTCGATAGGGGGTAGAGTAGGCTATGAGGGTATCTGTAATTTTAAAGCTTTAAAATGTATGCTACTGTGAACAAATTAAACCATTGTTAAAATGGTCCTAATAGTGAAGTTAACCGTTAATCGTGCGAAGGCAAAGCTTGATGAATGTTGGGTAAAAGGTTGAAAAGTGAAAGAAGATTTGCGTCTTATTTGTCCTCTCTACTATAGTTTTTGATTACACATATCGATCGCTCCAAAAGGACCTACTACAGCTAACTCTTGTTGGTGAGGGGTTGTGTGCCAATCGAGAATCAATTGAACTTGTCATTTGACAACAAATAAAGCAGCAACAGATTCGTTGTCAAACAAACTTACTGAATAAATATCGCATAAATCACATTGTGATGACATAGATAAATTCATTTGTATTATTAAGCTATGGCATTAGCTAGGTATTTACTCAGGGGAGGTATAGAAGAGGCTACGATGACAGCTGAGGGCTTCTTATTAGCTGAGGGAACGCCATTACCGTAACAAAACTTTCGATAGCCATAGGGCATCGGTGGTCTAATGGTTAGCGTGCCGGGCTGATATACTGTAGGTCCCGGGTTCGAATCCCGTTGGTAGCATTAACTTTTGGTCCAAGATTTTTTTATTATCAGCAAGTTTGGTTGGTTTGGTTTGGTTATTACAGTTTAATTTTATAATTAAGTAATTATAAAATTTTAATTGAGCAATTTCTAGTTTTATTTAATAAACAGAATTATTTTTCCGACTACTAAACTCTTGGTTTATTATTTCTTTATCAGCAAGTTTGGTTAGTTCGGTTAGGTTATGATAGTTTAATTTTATAATTAAAAAATAGTAAAATTGAATTTGAGGCATTTATAATTTTATTTTATGAGCAGAACTATTTTTGCGATTAGTAAACCTTCATTGCCAAAGTGCTCTCTACTACAGCGCTGTTCACGGAGGAATTTTGAACTAAATGCCTCATTTGTACCTCCCCTAAGTCAGACCCCATTAGCTATGGTATGACTACTTGAGAACAGATTGATAGATCAAGCGTATCAAAAAAGTACTTGAATATTAATTATCTACAGAGGTTTGGAAGTACAGAAAAAAAACTCAATCTAAACACTGAGAAAATTAATCAACTCTGAAGGGCGTTGAATCCCTCTTAACAGGATAATAAAACAGAAACAAGACATTTTCAACATGAATTTTAGGTATTAGGGAAAATGCAATAGTGCCAAAAAATGTTAAGTATGTATACATAATTGCACTGACCATATTACATTTTTTTTATAACTGAATTTATTTTACAATCTGTTCAAACCTTGTTTGTAAAAATCCCAAGCCAGACCTGCTCAACATACTTCAATGATCGGAACTAAACATGTTCATGTTCATGTAACAATATTAATGCACAGTACTTGCATTGGTATTAACAAATTGGTCTAATTATCAGGATAGTACTGCGGATAGTCATAGTACTCATTAGTGCGGACGTTAATACACACCAGGGAGTATATCGCATCCAATTCGTGGCCTCACCTCCTATAATATAGGAGTTGGATTACAGGACGACGCCCTCGTCCCAGTCAGTTATCTTCAGTGTAATCTTTGATCAATAGTTACACTTATCCTTTGAATAACCCTTTGTAGGTACTGTATTTCGTAACTTGCTAGTATACTGTGATAGCTTGTTATAAAAACATCTGACAACTATTTTGCTTACTTTTTCCTTGTTGACCTTATTTTATTTTGTTCAACCAACATAGTTATGGTACTTAGCAACCCATAAGGCCAATGTTAAATTTTCAAACTAGTCAATCTGTGCCCACAAGTCCCCGATTCCAAATTATTGAAAATCCTTGGCTGGATTTCGATATATATTACAGACGTTAGAATATAGATACCAACCTTTGGTTAATAAGTCAATTTCTTTGTAATCAAAAGGGTACAGCAGGACAGATAATGCACCCCACATGCCAATGACTATAAGGTTTCCAGTAATATTAATAAGCAAGACCCCATAAGACTCTATTATGGTGAAGGTGGACTCTTGGTTACACCAGGTGTGAAAACTTGTATTTGTTTGGTACCTAGTGAAAACTTGTATGTGCTGGAATCAAATTTGTCCCTCCCACACCCATGTCGAAGATGTTAACCACTAGTGATGTGCGATACGTATCGTATCGGAATATCGTGATACGCGAGAGACGATACGATATTTCGATACGATATTTAAAAAACGATACGTATCGTATCGCCTAAAACGATATTTGTATTTATATCGGCACATAGAGCGATACGATTCATGTCAAAACGATATTTTTAAGCTTTTTTTGCGCAGGCCGAGCAAACTGCAAAATCTGTACTCTGTGGATGTGTAGTTTGAAATAGGAGTTTGTGACGTCTCTATTTTTGGTTTTTACTTGATAATGTACCAGTCCCATCCCAGTCCAGTCTCCTCCAGTCCATTTTCACTAGCGTTCTATCTAGCACTTTTGGTTTTTACTTGATAATGTACCAGTCCCATCGCAGTCCAGTCTCCAGTCCATTTCCACTAGCGTTCTATCACTTCTATCTAGCCTAGCAGGCTAGCAGTGCAGTGCAGAGTGTGGGAACTGTCAACTGTCTGGTCTGTGGCAATTACATTACATTAATGTATCTGCAATCCTAAAATGCTATGGGAAGGAAAGGGAAACAGGTCCAAGACGTAGGGAGTTGTGAAGGAAGTAGTAAAGGCGAGCAGTGTGGAGTAGTGTGGGGATGGATTAATGTATCTGCAATACTAAGACTGTTTAAAGAGTAAACTAATGATTTTCCCCGAGCAAAGCTCGGTCCCCAGGTACTTAAACAAATTTGCCGTTTCTAGGTTAGGTAGGGGGGGGGGGGAAACGATACGATACGTATCGTTTTTCGATACTTTTGAAATTGATCGCGATACAGACGCCCGATTCAATACGGCGATACGATATTTTTTTCCGATACGTATCGTATCGCTGTAATCGCCCATCACTATTAACCACTGTGCTGGCAACACAGGAACACACCCATGCTCATGAAAAGATTGTTTCACACATCAATTTTGTTACTCACTTAAAAACCCTTAGGGCTGGTCCTACTTGAGCGACAAGAGGGGCACTACAAGAGCAAAACAATTGCAAACTAAAGTACAGTGGAACCTCGATAACAAGACTCTCATGGGGATTATTAAATAAGACTTGCTATCAAGGTCCACTTCTTATCCAGGTTTACAATAACATGTGATTAGGGGTAAGATAAAATTCAAGGGGATTAGAAAATTACACTTGTTATTAAGGGTGACTTTTTATTGAGGGTATTGTTATCAAGGTTCTACTGCATTGGAGCGTCCATCGTAGGTCAAGGAGCGACGCATTGTGAGCGTATTTTGAAACTTCAAATTATTTTGAATCTCGTTATTGTTGTCGTTCGCAAAGCAGAGCTATTGCCGCTGTTGACACCAGCGTTGCTCACATAGGACTCGCCTGTAACAGGTGGTGCTAGTGTTTACAGCGACAGCAGCGCTATCCATAAAATAGCGAAACTGATTTTTCTAGAATAAAGTTTCACTCTCATGTCAAGCCATGTGATGACTAAATCCCTCCCTTGAATCAACTTTTATTCAAAGAACCGCTTCAATGAAATTGTCACTCAACATTGTAGGTAAATCAATTTTCCAGACTATTTAACTGATTGATGACAATGTATCAGCCAACAAAATACAACAAGGCTAACAACTAGGATACAATTACAACACTATCTGATGGAAATGTGTTTATTCTTGTCAAGACCTACATTGATGGAGAAGCATGCAGTACACAAATCCAAAATATACTTAATAAACATCAATAAACCTTGGAATGCATACTGGAGGAATGTGCACAAAGGAGAGGAAATACCTTAAATATGCCTTACCCTAGAAAATACTGTGCCGTAAGCGGTATAAAATTGTTATGAAAAATAAATACTGTTGGTGGAATGTCTAATTGCAATTTTCTTATAAAATGTCTTTTAAAAAACCTCATTATCTTTACATAGGCCACATCGCCGAATTACGATAAATATTGATATAATAAATATTTCAAGTCCTATAAAAGTTACAAACTTAGTAAGGGCATACTAAATTGAACAAATATTAGTGGCCCATCTCAAACACTTTTTGACTCGATAGCGATGACAAACTGGTTGCGACCGAGCTACATCAGTAGAGTTGTTACATTTAGAAGCACTTCCTGTGGACGATGGAGGGACCAGACTCGTCGTACTCTTGTTTGGAGATCCACATCTGTTGGAAGGTGGAGAGGGAGGCGAGGATGGAACCTGAAAAATACAAAAAAAAACATTAGAAAACACAAGAGGAACTGAAAACATTGGAAAACTGTAAGTGACGCTGACAACGTTGGTCAATAAC